AGACCTAAATTTTAGGACTTGTAAATTTTATTTTAGGGGAGGGAGGGAGAGAGAGAGGTAGAGAAACATCAATGTATGGTTGCCTGTGGGGCACCCCAATCTGGGGACTCAGCCCACAACCCAGGCAGGCGCCCTGGCTGAGAATTAAACTGGTGACCCTTTGGCTTGTAGGCTGATGCTCCTTCCACTGAGCCGCACCAGCCAGGGCTCCCTGAGAGAAAAATAATGTCTCATTTCCAATCACAAATAGTCTAAAGCAGTGGCTTTTAAAAAAATTTTAGATAATATCTTTATTTTATTTAAAGTATATTTTGATTGTACTATTACAGTTTTCCCAATTTTTTCCTCCCTTTCATCCCCCCTCCAACCTGCACCTCCCAACCCTCCAGCATTCCCCGCCTTAGTTCATGTCCATGGGTTGTACATATAAGTGGTTTGGCTTCTCTGTTTCCTATATAATCTTAACCACTCCCTGTTTTATGCCTACCAATTATGCCTCTTATTCCCTATACCTTTCCCCTGAATCCTTCCCCTCTCCCTCCCTACTGAAAAACCTCCATGTGATCTCCCTTTCTCTAGTTTTGTTCCTGTTCTGGTTATTTGCTTCTTTTTGTTGTTGTTGTTTTTTAAGTTAAGTTATAGATAGTTGTGAGTTTCTTGTCAGTTCACTGTTCATTGTTTTTGATCTTCTATTTCTTAGATAAGCCCCTTTAACATTTCATATAATAAGGGCTTGGTGATGATGAACCTCTTTAACTTGACCTTATCTGGGAAGCACTTTATCTGCCCTTCCATTCTAAATGAGAGCTTTGCTGGATAGAACAGTCTTGGATGTAGGTCCTTGCCTTTCATGACTCAGAATACTTCTTTCCAGCCCCTTCTTGCCTGTAAGGTCTCTTTTGAGAAATCAGCTGACAGTCTGATGGGAACTCCTTTGTAGGTAACTGTCTCCTTTTCTCTTGCTGCTTCTAAGATTCCTTATCTTTAATCTTGGGTAATGTAATTATGATGTGCCTTGGTGTGTGCTTCCTTGGGTCCCACTTCTTTGGTTCTCTCTGAGCTTCCTGGACTTCCTGGAAGTCTATTTCCTTTGCCAGATTGGAGGAGTTCTCCTTCATTATTTGTTCAGGTAAGTTTTCAATTTCTTACTCTTGCTCTTCCCCATCTGGTATCCCTGTGCTTCAGAGATTGTCCCAGAGGTTCCTAAGCCTCTCCTCATTTTTCTGAATTCACGTTTTTTTTTCATTCTGCTCTGGTTGAATGTTCCTTTCTTCCTTCTCCTCCAAATTGTTGATTTGAGTCCTGGTTTCCTGCCCATCACTGTTGATTCCCTGTACATTTTCCTTTACTTTTCATAGCCTTCAGTTTTTCTTCTTTTTGCGACCATACTCATCCAATTCTGTGAGCATCCTGATTACCAGTGTTTTGAACTCTGCATCTGATAGGTTAGCTATCTGTTCATCACTTAGTTGTATTTTTTCTGGGGCTTTGATCTGTTCTTTCGTTTGGTCCATATGTTTGTCTCAGCACACCTGTTACATAGTAAGGGGCAGAGCCTTAGCTATGGAGAGGGCAATTCACCTTGCTGAGCTGCGGTGCTGCATGCAGAGGAGAATCCAAGAGAGTGAACAGTGCCACTTGTTGAGCTCTTTTCTGGCTTTCAGTCACTTTCCCTGCTACCCACAAGCAAATTGTGACCTGGCGCTGAGTCCCAAGTGGGTGGGTTTGTGTACATTCTAGAAACCTATGGGTCTCTCCAATGAACTCTCCTGTGATAGTGGGAGTTTCTCCCACTGTCTCAAGACTCACAGGTTTTTTGCAATCAGAGGTTTTGAGGCTTAATTTCCCTACACTGGAACCCTGGCTTGCATGGTCTGTCTCACTCCCAAATTTTTCCTCCGGGTCTATCCGCATGTAAATGTGGGGCTGCCCTTTCCACAAGTCTTCACCCTACCTGCCCTTCAGCCGCTGCCTTGCCGCCTGTCCTCTCTGCCCATCTCCTCTGCTCCTACCACTCTGCATGAATGTTTCTTTAAATCCTTGCTTGTCAGATTTCCATACAGTTCAATTTTCTGTCAGTTCTGGTTGTTGTTTTTTTAATTGAATTATTTGTTGTCCTTCTCGTGGTTGCGTGAGGAGGCAGAGTGTATCTAACTACGCCTCCATCTTGGCCAGAATCAAATCTTTCTTTAAAGCTCAAATATAGTTCTTTTCTGCTTAGTTGGTTTGGGTATGTTGTTTAATTTCACAGAAATCATTTTAGTCTCCTGGAAAATTGCAAGGTTGCCAATGAAACTCCATCATTTGGGTAGGGACTAGAAATCATTCTGCATATGTGGTTGCAGTCATCACAGACTCCATAGTAAATTCAGCCAGGGTTCTCAGCTATTCTAAGTCATGTGGCTTGAAGGCTTTTTCTTTGCCCTGGTCAGGATTTAATTGTCATCAGCCTATCTGAGGTGAAGCACAGGTTTGTATATTTTGAAAATGCTCTCCAGGTCATTGTGATTTACACTCCTAGTGTTGTAAGAACCACCATAGTAGTTAAAAATCACTAGTCCTGCCCTGGCTGGTGTAGCTCAGTGGATTGAGCTCGGGCCTGCGAACCACACGATCGCGGTTCGATTCCTAGCCAGGGCACATGCCTGGGTTGCAGGCCGGTACCCTGCAGGCCGGTTCCCAGCAGGGGATGAACGAAAGGCAACCATACATTGATGTTTCTCTCCCTCTCTCCTTCCCTTCCCCTCTAAAGATAAATAAATAAAATTAAAAAAAAAACAGTATTTGGCAAAAAAAAATCACTAGTCCTTTGCTTTCTTGGATTGAAGTCACTTGGATGGTGGCCTAATCAACTTTATACCAGATAAAAGTAATGTGTTGTAGTCAAAAGAGCATGGCCCTTGGTTTCAGTCCGACCCAGGTTTCTCTTAGTTCTGTGGCCTTGAGCATGACACCTCACTTCCCTAAGCCTCAGTTTCCTCATCTGTAAAATGGGGCTTATAAATCTTACATAGTTAGGTTATGATGATGGGGGAGAGTAAATCACACTTAGTATTATTCAAGGTACAAGGTAGAAGGATGCTGAGTCAGTGACTTGTAGGAGCGATGCACTGGAAGAAATTATCACCAGGGGGCAGCATAAAACTATCACACTGATCCATGTGTAGTTAATCATACCTCTAGGCTTAAATATGTTGCAGTGCAAGTAAGATTTCTGGTTCCTTTGCCTGGACATTAAATACAGGCCTAGCTTTGTTATCTGCTTACCACTATCTCACCTCTTGTATGACTTAATATGTGACATGACTATACTGTAACTAGACTTTCTTTCTGTAACTTAGCAAAACCTTAATGCATTGAAACTCCTGCCGGACACCAGAAACTACCATTCCTTTACAACTTAAATGCGGAAATAAGTCAGTTGCTTTCAAGAAAATTATTGAGGTCCATAGCCTCTAGAGCCAAAATCCAGGCTTAGCTTCTTCTAGCCACGTGACCTTAAGGATAGTAATGTAAAGTGGGTATAATAATAATAATAATAGTTATGACCTCATAAGATTGTTTTGAGTATTAAATGCATTATTGTATCTTAAGGTACTTGGAACATTGCTTAGCACATAGTACATGTTCAGTATCTGTTATCCATTATTATTCATATTACTGTGCCAGGTCTTATGTGGGAGCCAGGAATACAGAGATAAATAAAGTGTCTTGGATCAGCCCTGACTGGTATATCTCAGTGGATCGAGCACGGGCTGCAAACCAAAGGGTCACCAGTTGGATTACCAGTCAGGGCACATGCCTGGGTTGCAGGCCAGGTCCCCAGTGGGAGAGTGTGAGAGGCAACTACACATTGATGTTTCTCTTGCTCTCTTTCTTTCTCCCTTCCTTCTCTCTAAAAAATAAATAAATAAATTTAAAAGTCTCTGCGATCATCAAGGAAGTGAGTGTGGTAGAACCAGTGTGCAGAAAATTTCAGTATGCTCTAAGTGCAGCTATAAAGGCATTTCAGGGGAAGGACACTTAATGGTCTGCCTCTATTACATAAAGTATAGTGCTGTGCTGGAGGAAGCCTGGTATAATGGCAAGTGTGCATGCTGGTGTCAGATCAGCTTTGGTTTGAATCCTGTTTCCACTCACTGTATAACTGGGGCAGCCAACTTCTTGCAGCATTAGTTTTCCCATTTCTAAAGATGGGATGAAGGTTCTGACCTCCTAAATGTTGGAAGTGCCATTACATGGCAGGACTGCCATCTAACATGTTCCTAAGAAAGAAAGCAAGGGTTTTTTCAAAGAAAGTTAGAAGAGCCCTGGTTGGTGAACCTCAGTGGACTGAGTGCCGGCATGTGAACCAAAGGGTTGCCATTCGATTCCCAGTCAGGGCACATGCCTGGGTTGCAGGCCAGGTCCCCAGTCGGGGGCATGTTCGGGGCAACCACGCATTGATGTTTCTCTCCCTCTCTTTCTTCCTCCCTTCCCCTGTGTCTAAAAATAAATAAATAAAGTCTTTCTAAAAAGTTAGATGAAGTTAGGCTCAGATTCTAGCTGTGTGTTGCTTAACCTTTCTGTGTCTATTTTCACGTATTAAGTTTTTTCATCCATATCTACCTTGCCCATGGTTGTTCTGACAATGAGTTGATTTATGTCAAGTATATGGGGCATGTAGAGGTGCTAAGCAATAAATAATAGCTTCATTATCTTTACAACAAAGGTTTCTTCTGTTATTCTTTAAAGTAAAAACTTACATACTATGTTAATTTCAGTGTTCTTTTAAAGAGTCTGTCTCATGAAAGAAGTCAAAAAGACTAGGCACTTGAACAGACACATAGATAATTCTACCTGTGTTTACAAGAGAGGCTTTTTAAAAAGGCTATTTTATTCAGTCTCATATAATCTGAAGTTTTAACAAACTATAAAGTTCAGTTTCTAAGCTTCCTGACTTCTAACCAAATATAGGTCAGCTCTGTTACATGACCTATTCTTCTCTTCTTCCCTCCTAGGTCTTTCAGAGCCTCGAAGACCACCATTTGGAAGTGGTGGCTTTTTTCAGGGAAAATGGCTTCCATGGCCTTCTTGCCCATGACTCCGAGTATGCTCTCTACAATATTCCATTTTACTACAGTTCCCATGCTCTGAAGCTGAGCTGGAATGGGAAGAACCTCACCACCAACCAGTTCCTGATACAGGAGGTGGCCAAGCAGCTGGGCCTGAAGCGGGTGAATTTTCCCATATTTGCTGCGCTGCTAGGTAGGTAGTCCGCAGAACAGACTCCAGTGATGAACTTTCCCTTTCCAGAGTTAAGAGATGAAGAACAGAGCCATTTAGCCTGTCATTATTTGTTCTGAAAGTCCTCATGCCAAATACTGTGCATCTGGGTTTCTTATTAGAAACTTGGCATGTTTGTCTTACAGGGTATTCCAGAACATTATTTTAATTCTTGTGAATTCTTTTTTCATATTCCATAACTATTTTATTCATACTACTGTCTTAGGCCAAATGTTTTACTAGCCCTAGAATGCTTTGGTTGCCCACTCAGAGCATTTCCCCAGTGTCTAAACTTAGATCAAGAACACACCTCGCTGTGTGTTCCTTTTTTGTTTGTGTTATACTAACATTTTATAATGAAAATTTCCTAACATACAGCAAATGTGAAAGAATTTTATAGCGGAAATCCTGTATCTATCTCCTGTTTTCTGCCATTAACATTTTATTATACTTGCTTTATCATTTATCTATTGTAGCCGTCTGTCCATGTATCTTTTAAAGACATATTTCAAAGGAAATGGCAGAGAGTTGATTATGTTTTGAGTTGGTTTTCCAAGTATTGACAGCATGAAGGTTATTATCTTGTCTTGGGTGTGAACTCTTAGTTATAATGCCAAAGTAGTTGAGCTTGGATAATTGAATGAAGTCAACACAAGTTTTGGAGTTACGCCTTGGGTGAATCCCTGAAGTTGTAACTCCCTGGTTTCAGTCTCCTTCTCTGTGAAAGGGAATACTACCTTATGATGTTATTGATAAGATCAAATGAAAGGAGATCTATAAAATGCCCAGCATTTATTAGGCAGGCAGTAATTGGTGGTTGCTATTAGAAAAGACAGGATGAGTAGGTAATAGAAAATGGCACGGGCTTTGGAGTCGGTCCTTAGCTCCTTTTCCTGGTGTGGGCACTTATTAAAAATATCACCTTAGTCTGTCACCAAACTTGTCCAAACCTCAGTTTATTTATCCGTAAAATGGGGAAAATAATACTACCATATGTGGTTATTATGAAGATACATATAATGCATATGACACATAGTAGGGAATCAACACATAGCTACTGTAGTCATTATATTAAGAATATCGACCTGTGTAGACTATTGATCATTTTTCTCTCCCAGAAGCCCTTTCATGCTTGGAGGTTGTACAAACACATTTATATGGTCAATAAATGATAAATGTACTTTATAGGTAACCACATTCTCCCAGATGAGGACCTGGCTGCTTTTCACTGGAGCCTCTTGGGACCAGAACATCCCCTTGCATCACTTAAGGTAATGTACCCCATTTCTTTTGTTTTATTTTTAAGATTTTACTTATTTTCAGAGAGAGTGGGAGGGAGGAAGAGAGGGAAAGAAACATGTATGTGAGAGAGAAACATCTTGTATGTGCCCAGCTGGGGACCTGGCCCACAACACAGGCATGTACCCCAACTGGAAATCGAATCAGTGACCCTTTGAAGTTCACAGGCCAGTGCTCGATCCACTGAGCCACACCAGTCAGGGCTACATTTCTTGTGTATACATCCATGTCTAGGGGACATTAGGTTTTGATTGCAGTTTTGACAGAATAATTATCTTTTATTGGGTTTAAAATATTCCAAAGACTTACAAAAATTATAATTGTGATCAATACCCTTTAAAAAGGAAAAACTCCATTTTCTACCTTCTGTATAGCAGAAAACCCAGTTGTTCCCTTCCTATGTCTTTCTTTCATGTGTCTTTCTTTCACACAGAGTATGTCACTTCCGATACTTCTGGTCACAAAATATGGGGGGGGGTTTCCCCACATCAAGCAGTTCTGTGCGATAGTAGCTGGGTATCCTACAATCCAACTCAGTTTTGACACAGTCTGCTTTGAGATGGTATCAGATCCACATGTTAAGGGCTCAGTCCCACAAAACTGCCCCATCCCACAATTTCAGACACCAGTTGCAAGCCTGGTTATCACCTAGGCTTCTAACCAACCCACTATAGGTTGGAGGTTTCCACAACCCTTGCCCTGTGGGTCCGATTACTTTTGCTACAACAGTTCACAGAACTCAGGGAAACTTACTTACATTTACCAGTTTATTAACAACATGACAAAAGATACAAGATAAACAGCCAGATGAAGAAATATATAGAGTGAAGTCTGGGAGGATCCATAACTGAGGAGCTTCTGTCCCCCTGGAGTTGGGCTGCTTCATCCTCCCAGGGTAGATGCGTTCAACCCAGAAGCTGTCTGAACCCATACTTTGGGGATTTTATGGAATCTTCATCATGTAGACATGATCAATCATTAACTCCATTTTCAGCCCTTCTCCTTTCTTAAGAGAATGGAAGTGGGGCTAAAAGTTCTAAGCTATTAATCATGACTTGGTGTTTCTGGTGACCTACCCCTCACCCAGGAGTCATTCAGGAGGCTACTCAGAGTCGGCTCAACAGAACAAGAGTTGCTCCTACTGCTCTTACCACTTAGGATACTCAAGGGTTTCAGAATTCTGTGCCAGGAACAGTATATATTTTCTGTTATCTCACACCCTTAATATCTTAAGGATTGGTACAAACCTATGCAGAAAGATACTAATACCCCAATAAATGAACTAATGAACAAAGGACAGAAAGACAATTCACAAAAGATGAAATAAAGTGGCTAACAGTGTGACTAAATGTTGAACCTCCCAACTGATCACACATGCAGATTAAATGAACAGTGTGATTTTCTAAAACTAACAGTTGAATAAATATTTAAAAAATAATGGACCCTTTTCTATCAAGGCTTTGGTAAGATCAGTGCTCTTCATACACTTCTGCTAGAAGTGTTAAGGTGGTGATTGTGCCCTGGCTGGCTCAGTGAATTGAGCATCAGCCTGTGAGCCAAAGTGTCACCAGTTTGATTCCTAGTCAGGGCACATGTCTGGGTTGTGGGCCAGGTCCCTGGTGGGAGGTGCAGGAGAGGCACCCACACATTGATGTTTCTCTCCCTTTCTTTCTCCCTGCCTACCCCTCTCTGAAAATAAATAAAATCTTTTTTTAAATGCTGGCGATTGTATTATATTTCTCTAGTTCTTTTATTCTCCTAAATATTTCACACCTTCTCCTCTCTCCTCAAGCCTCTAATGGCCCCTCCTCCTTGTTTTACCCTCAGCTCGAGTGACCTGGCTTCCTATTTCACTGAGACAATTGAAGCAATGGGATGAGAACTTTCACCAGCTTCCACCCTTTTATTTTCTTTCCTGAAGGACCAAAATGCTCTGTGCCCAAATGCTCTGCCTGCCTCCTGTTAACTGTGGATAAACCGTTCATGTTCCTAAGGCCAACCCTGCTCTACTCTTTTTTTTTTTAATATTTTATTTATTTATCTTTAGAGGGGAAGGGAAGGAGAGAGGGAGAGAAACATCAATGTATGGTTGCTTTTCGTGCGTCCCCTGCTGGGAACTGACCTGCAGGGAACTGGTCTGCAACCCAGGCATGTGCCCTGACTGGGAATCGAACCGCGACTGTCTGGTTCGCAGGCCCGCACTCAATCCACTGAGCTACACCAGCCAGGGCCCTGCTCTACTCTTACACTAGATCCCATCTCCTCCAGCCAACTTAAGGGCATCACTTCGTCAATTCTGCCCTCTTTCTCCTGCCTCAGTTTCTCTTCACTGGCTCTTTCCTATCAGATGTATAAGCATGCATTCATGTTAAATAAAACAAAACCTACTCTTGGCCTCACTCCCTTCACCCAAGCTACTGCCCCATAGTTTTTCTTCCCTTATATCAAACTCTTCCGGGCAGTTGTCTATACTTCATCTGTTTACTGTCTCCTTTCCCTGTTCTTGTTTCAGTCTGCTTTCCTGAAATTGCTCTTAACAAAGTCCCCAGTGATCTTGATGTTAATAAATCCAGCGGCCAGCTCTCAGTTTTTGTCTTACTTGACCAGTCAGCGGCATATGACTTAGTTGCTCTCTCCCTTTTCCATAGAACGTGTTCTTCACTTGGCTTTAAGGACATCCCTCTCTTCTAGTTGCTTTCTACTTCACTGATTATAGCTTCTGACTCCTTTGCTGCTTCCTGTCTTCTCCACTTTGGAATGTCCCAGAGTCCTATACTCAGTCCTTTCTCTTCTATCTATAGGTACTGCCTTGCTGAATGATTTCATCTGGTGTCATGACTTTAAATACCATGTATCCAATGATGACTCCTAAATATATGTCTCCAGCTTCAACTTCCCCCTTGAACTTCAGATTCTAATATGACCTAAATATTTCAAAGAAATCTGTTCTAATGTATACTCCTGATCTCTCCCCTAAACTTATTACTCCCGTAGCCTTCCCCATTTTCTTTTTTTAATTTTTAATTTTTTAATGGTTTTATTTATTATTTTTAGAGAGAGGGGAAGGGAGGGAGAAAGAGAGGGAGAGAAACATTAATGTGTGGCTGACTTTGACGTGGTCCCCACTGGGGGCCAGGCCCACAACCCAGGTATGTGCCCTGACTGGGAATCGAACCAGTGACCCTTTAGTTCACAGCCTGCACTCAATCCACTGAGCTATGCCAGCCAGGGCTAGCCTTCCCCATTTTCATTAATTGCAACCCATCCTTCTACTTGCTCAGCTTAAAAACCTTGGCATCATCCTTGACTTTTCTCTTCCTCATGCCCCACATCTCCTCTGTCAGCAAATACCATCAGTTTTCCCTGGTACTACCCTGGTCAAGCCACCATTCTTTCTTGCCTGGATTATTATCATAGCTTATTAATCGTTGGTCTTCTGCTTGCACTCTTTCCAGCCACCTCCTTCTCCCAAGTCTATACTCAAAGACAACAGCCAGAGTGATTCTTTTAAAAACTGACTCAGCTCTTGTCACTTCTCTATTCAGAATTCTCCAGTGATTTTTTATGTCATTCACCAAATGTCTACCATGGCCTACAAATCCTTGTACTAACTGACCCCCTGTTACAGCTCTGATCTCAACTTCCCTTTTTTTCTTTTTTTTTTTGACTGAATAATATTTTTAAAAATTTTTATTGATTATGCCATTACAGTTGTTCTATTCCCCCCTTTCATTCCCCTCCACCCTACCCCCCCATCCCCATCATTTACCCCCCTTTAGTTTATGACCATGTGTCTCAAGTTCTTTAAATTCTATATTTCCCATACTATTCTTGCCCTCCCCCTGTCTATTTTCTACCTACCATCTATGCTATTTATTCTCTGTACCTTTTCCCCCCTCTCCTCCTCCCACTCCCCTGTTGCTAACCCTCCATGTGATCTTCCTTTCTATCGTTCTGCTCCTGATCTAGCTGTCCTCTTAGTTTGCTTTTGTTTTAGGTGTGGTTGTTAATAACTGTGAGTTTGCTGTCCTTTCACTGTTCATCTTTTTAATCTTCTTTTTCTTCGATAAGTCCCTTTAACATTTCATATAATAAGGGCTTGGTGATGATGAACTCCTTGAATTTGATCTTATCTGAGAAGCACTTTATCTGTCCTTCCATTCTCACCTTCCCTTTTCTTTGGCTCTTCAAACCTTTGCACTTACCATTCCTTCTACTTGGGAGGCTTTTTCCTCCCACACAGCTATTTCCTCACTCCTATAGGTTTTCTCAAATGCCATTTTCTCAGTGAGGCTTTTCTTGACCACCGAATTCAAAGTTTTCTGCAGGCACACAAACATACACTCAGTAGCACTCCTTAGCCCCTTTTCTGCTTAGATTTTCTCCATAACACTTAATCTACATCAAGCACACTTACATGTCTTACTTACTTATTCTGCTTTATTCCCTGCACCCTATCCCAGTACACCTACACCAGCTCCCATGAGGGCAGTGGTTTATGTTTGTCTGTACCCCTGGTGCCTAGAACAGTGCCTGCCACATAATAGGCAGTAAATATTTCTCGAAGGAATGAATCTTACAGACTTTTGCCTAAACCTTTCACATAAAAAGCCTTTAAGAAGTTGATACCCGGAGGCCACTACGTTGGCGGCTGCGGAGGAGGCTGCTCTGACCGCAGCGCATAAAGGGGCTGCTGCCAGGTGATGCAGTGACCACTGTGGCAGGCGCGGGAGCCCAGTGGGCCTCGGCCCTCTATAGGTCCCGCTGAACGCGCGCTTCCGACGAGCTGTCCATCGTCTCCGGTCAACCCGCAGTCACCGAGGCGGCTTTGCGCCCCCTCACCCCTTCCCTGTCCCTCCCCTGTCCCAGTCCCCGCCCTGGAGGCTGCCGCCACCTGCCTCCCACGATGGCTCTAAAGAGAAACCACAAGGAATTGAATGACCTGGCACAGGACCCCCTCCACACACACACA